AGTCTTGATACGGCGAAAACTGTGCAAGATGATAAAAACAACGAAACTAATATTGCTTATGATAATTAGGAATTATAACTACAAGTAATAATTATAGCAATAATAATAATGGTGTTGCAATATCAGCACAGGCGGTACTGTGACTGATATGACGACTGCTAGTTATGTAAATATTCATTTTAATTGTACTTGACTTCACAACTATAACCAGTAATATCAGAATACGATCACCACTGCTTTTATCGAATCATTTTGCATTAAGTAGGATAATTACTGTTGTTATTGTTATTACCATTATCACCATGCTATTATTCTTGTTGGCATTATTACTCTTATCATTATCATTATTTAGTATTATTGTTGTTTTTATTATTATTACCATCTTATTAATATTACCATCTTATTAATATTATCATCTTATTATTAATATTATCATCTTATTATTTTTTATCATTATCTTATTATTACTATTATTATTATTACTATTATTGTTATTGTTATTATCATTTTCATCATTATCATTATTTAAATATTATCAGTAGCATGTCTAAACATTTGAAAAAATATATAAGGCAAAACTTTTTTTTCTTTTCTTCATTTATCTGAACTTGAACTATTATTCAGTACAAAAACAGTTAATATCAAGTAGAGTTAACAGGAGTCATTTAGGGGCCCCTCTATCGATGGTCCCTTCCTAGTTCATCAATATTGTCGTTGCCAATGGTGTCATTATTACCATTATTGTTATCGCCCTTATTATTCTTACTAGCTTTATTAGAAGTTATAGTAATAGTACTAGTAGTAGTAGTAGTGATAGTAACTGACTGATCATTGTAACTGTTATTGCCACACTTTTACTATTGTTAAAATTATTCCCATTTATGATTGCCATCATCATGGACATAATTTTTATAGTGTTATTACACTATCACATGAATATTAAATGCAACAATAACCACAATGCAGTGATGACAAAGACAGGAATACGCACCACACGCATGAAAGGTCACTCCAACAAAGGGGAAAAGCGGTTCATTCTAGTTATGAGAACTGATTTCAATAACTACGCGAACATTCAAAGTTTATTAAAGCTAAAAGAGCTAAAATATTATAATTCATAGACAAAACAAACAAACAAACAAAAAAACTGCTAACTTTTTCATGTTAGTAAAAGTTAACTACTGTATAATGAAACAAAAAGAAGGTCTAACATGGAAAGTAAAGCCCGCCCACACGGTCGAGCACAGCCCCACGGGCACTCGCATGGTTCCCCTTGTTCGGGCAAAACTGACGGTCAAACCAACGGTAAGGCCTACATAAGTACTTATATAGACCTTGACCAACAGAGTGCCTGTGGTCGAGATAAATCACCAGATTAAAGCCGTCTCCCTAGTAGTTTGATTGTTTGCTGTTGGGTAGGGATGGTCAACACTGCCAGGCATTAACCCCACGCGTGTACGATACACATGCCTTGGCCGGGTATAGTGTATAGTTCGCTGGGTACAGTTCCATCGTGAGTACGGGGCCTCAACAAAAGTTATACGGAAAGACATCACTGCAGCATAGAGCAAAATGCCCATTCTATCACGAACAAAAAGTTCATCGTAACAAATATAAAACAAAATCAATAACAGCAAGAACAAGAAGTTCACCATACAGAAGAGAGCCAAAGTTGTGAGCAAACGTTCACCACAGAAGCGGGAACAAAATCTCACTCATACTGCATCAAAATCCTACACCTACTTTTACTATATCTGATTGAGCTTCTCGTTTGCCTTTGGTATTTTGTCTCACGGAATGTAGCATCTCCATTCGATATTGGTTCCTCATCATAAATTCGAAACAATAGAATTATGGCAAGTCATATATTCGAAGAAATGCTCTACAAAAAGCATATCAAGTGCACTTCGCCCTAAACCTTAGAGCAAATGTCGACGGAAACGAGACACCCAACCATCACTTTCATTAGACCCAACCATAACTTTCATCAGAGTATGGGCGCACACTGGTTTCCCTCGCTCTCAAGGTCACTAGCCGGAAACCACTCGGTCTGTGCGGGACGAAAGGAGCGAGATACACCGCCCCAGGCTATCGGCAGCGGACCAGAACGTGATGCCCTCTGACACATGATGGGGTTACAGAGGATACGAAATCCAGATACCCTTCGTATGGATGCCTCCAAATATAAACCGGAGACTGGAGAATGTTTTTTTCCTACGAAAGATTAACATGTTGGTCATGATGTCGCTGCCTGTGGTGTGCTTGAATGACTCACGCGCACGAGGGTTTTAGTTTTGCTCGAGTCTGAAGCTGAAATTAACTGTTAATATTCTTTTATAATGAATAGATTCAAACATGTTACATTTCTGGTGACCTTAAAGGTGACCGACTCCCCGGAACGAGTGAAATTTGTAAGCAACCAACCCAAGAGAATGGATATTACCACACTGCCAGGCGTATGAGAATGTGTAATTACAATAGCCCGTTGAGGTACCACTTCTGTAACTGATAACGCTTGTATCAAGTTCGTTTTTGGAGTGCAAGTGACACCGTTCTTCTTCTATAAGACCTTTGTAAACGTTGTTAAAAAATATAACCGTTATTGATGGGTAATAAGCTGATATCCGTCGCTTAGGCTCTTGTCGTTCGGATGTCCGTAACGCCAGATGTACGACAATGAGCGTTGCATACGACTCGACCTTGCAAAATCATCCCTGCAGGTGGTTCCTTCGCTGTTGCATCACTCCTGATGTACTATGGAATCACGATAAATCAGATAATGTAGAGACATTATGTGATCTGTTTACACATTTTATTCTTGCGAAAATAATGCTGCTACATTCGATTTGGCTCCCAAACACACACACACACACACACACACACACACACACACACACACACACACACACACACACACACACACACACACACACACACACACACACACACACACACACACACACATACACACATTTTCTCTCTCTCTTGATTCTTGTATGGCTGCTGCTACCTTAGGAGCAATTCTATTATGAAGAAAGTTGGTACGAAAAGTCATTAGAATACCGCATGGAGGCA